GACTGGCTGTTCCAGGTGGAGATGTCAGATGACGCCTGAGGCCTCTTCAAAGAGGCTGATGGTCCTGGTGAGAAGTTACTGCAACAGTGGGCTGTGTAACCCTAGGGGCCTCCCAAGGGTTGGGGCTGGAGACGTTCAGTACAAGGTGAGTCCAGTCTCCTAGGAGGTTTTTGCTCAAATCATTGGGAGGGAATGTTGGGTATCCCTCAGGATGCTCGTCTTGTAATGGGTCAGTCCCCACTGTGTGCTGCCCACTGAGGAAGGCTCCTCCACTGCACTGTAGAAAAGACGAAGAGAAACAATTCCAAGGGGGCCAAAGGCAAGAGAAATTTTTCACCCTGCACATCTGTGTAGTAGAAAATGACTTCACCCAAGAAACACATTATTTCAGCCTTTGGTCATTTCACTGCTGGCCGAACACAGGCTGGTGAGTTTGTCTGCAGCCGTCCTTGTGTAAGCAAACGAGCTGAAGGTCTCTGAGGGACCTGGCCTCCATCTGTCATTTCTTGTATTTTAAAAGCGAAACTGATGATGGCAGTGACTGAGCCCTCTGTCATCCCTAGAGACAAAGCCCAAGTGTTCTTATTCCAGCATTTTGCTCTCAGGTCTTCATGTCTACCAGAGTTCAAGACCTTTTGGCATTGGAGTGATTTTCTAACTTTGCCTACAAAATTATTATTTCTTTTACTAATAAAACCCCTTAAAAGTAATAGCTTAGACAAAATCACACTGCATGAAACAGAAAAAAAGCTCAGAATTTTATTGTCATGTATTTATTTTATAACTTCACACTTATAATTTTATCCACAGTATATTTTATTTCATATCTGTGGATAAGTGAAACAACAAGGGCACTTTCATGAATACAAAAAACACACCAAATAAGGGTGCGCTGGACGGTAACTATACCACTTTGGTTGAACAGTATTGAAAAATATAACTTAGAAAGATAAATAATCACAATGATACCTTTTTAAAAAATACATTTCTTACAATCTCAGACTGTTTTTCAATTAAAATTATCCATGATCAGAAAGAATAATGTATTGTTTCAAAGTTAAATTACTAGGAATAGTCAACCATGGCTGGAGTACTTGTTACAGAGTAACAAACGTGAAATATTCAAACTTACCATAAGAGCTAAACTGGTTTCTAATGCAGTTGTCACATGTTACTCGCAGATCACATATTTACTTGTTATGGCACAACTGTTAGAACGACGAAGAGAGCGTGCATTGGGTCGACGCTACGCATCAAGAAAATAATGTCTCAATGTATCGAGGGCTTTCTGTATTCTAGACATCATGCTAAGCACTTAAAATGTCATCTGATCTTAATGTAATGACCCTATTCTATTACCTTACCATTCTGATGAGGAAACTGATGTTCAGAGGAGTTTAGCAACTTTGATGTACACACAAAGCTCTCATGATGTGCTACGTCAGCCAGCACTTTGATGAATGGTGCTCATTACTCTACTTGCACACTTGACATCAAGGATGCTTATGAGCCTGATTAAACCCCCTTGAGGAGCTATAGGCCCCTTAATCTATGGCCTTTGAGAGAAGGTCTGCTGCCTGCTCCGATAGTGCCAGGGAACCTTTTCCCAAGGTCTGCAAGCAGTGAGTCAGTCCAAAAACAAAAGTGAGCCTGCTGGGGAATGCCTAGGTGTTCAGCGGTGACTATCACCACATTTGCCTCTACCTGTTATTCATTAGTGATATAAAGGGTTTGAAATACATTTTAAAGATGGAACTGCTGAAAAATCTCTGTACAATTTGAAAACCATGATCGTGGTGGAGGGCAGATCAGCAAGAATCTGAGCGTGCTCAACTCCTGCCTCAGCTTTGCCACTTGTTACCAATTTGATATAGAGGAGACCACTGAACTCCTCGAAGCATCCATTTTTTTTTCCAAGAGCAAAATTATACTGCGCTGGGGTTGCTGTACACAGTAACTGAGACCTGCATGACACCTGGCACTGGGCCTTCAGTAAGCCGGAGTGCCTCATCCCTCCTCTCTGCCTCTGTCACCACTAAAAATCTTCCCTAAACAGCAGGGCCTGCTCACTAAATCCAAACTCTTCTACATGCCCTCCTGTAATATCTGCCTTTTGTTGAGGGCACCTCTCACTCTGGGAACCTCTTGGAAGCAGGGATTAGGTGGAGTCACGTGTCCTTCGGGCCTAAGGCCAAGCTTGGACGGTAGACCTGACACCTAGCAGAGAAGTAAGGAGAAAAGAAAGCTGCAGGTAAAGATGGTTGTCTTTGTTGGGCAATGACACTTCTAGGGGCATCACAGACTGATTTATGCAGAAGGTTCTGCAGCTGCCACCCCCTCCTGAGGCTGTGGCTCTCCGAGAATGGCCAGGCTCCTATGACTGCCGCCTCCTTGACAGGTGCCTCACGCTGCTCCGAGTGTGAGGAATTAGCTGACTTGACAAAGGAAATACCTGACAAGTCAAAAAGCTTGGGGTTTTAGGTAGATGACAAAAGATACTTCTTCTTCATGTCAATCCTTTCTTCTTTGGTGTGGGTAAACTTTGGTCTATTGGGGGTATTTACAGGGAACATGAAGTTTCCTTTCACATTTAAAATTTAACCTTTTTAAAAAATATATTTTATTGATTATGCCATTACAGTTGTTCTATTCCCTCCTTCATTCCCCTCCACCCTGCACACCCCTCCCCCACCATTCCCCCCCTTTAGTTTATGACCATGTGTTTCAAGTTCTTTAGATTCTATATCTCCCCTACTATTCTTGCCCCCTCATCTATTTTCTACCTACCGTCTGTGCTACTTATTCTCTGTACCTTCTCCCCCCTTCTCCTTCTCCCACTCCCATTGCTAACCCTCCATGTGATCTTCATTTCTATGGTTCTTGCTCCTGATCTAGCTGTCCTCTTAGTTTGCTTTTGTTTTAGGTGTGGTTCTTAATAACTGTGAGTTTTCTGCCCTTTCACTGTTCATCTTTTTTTATCTTCTTTTTCTTAGGTAAGTCCCTTTAACATTTCATATAATAAGGGCTTGGTAATGATGAACTCCTTGAATTTGATCTTATCTGAGAAGCACTTTATCTGTCCTTCCATTCTAAATGAAAGCTTTGCTGGGTAGAGCAATCTTGGATGTAGGTCTTTGGATTTCATGACTTGGAATACTTCTTTCCAGCCCCTTCTTGCCTGTAAGGTCTCTTTTGAGAAATCAGCTGACAGTCTGATGGGAACTCCTTTGTAGGTGACTGTCCCCTTATCTCTTGCTGCTTCTAGGGTTCTCTCCTTCATTTTCATCTTGGCTAATGTAATGATGATGTGCCTTGGTGTGTTCCTTCTTGAGTCCAACTTCTTTGGGACTCTCTGAGCTTCCTGGATTTCCTGGAAGTCTATATCCTTTGCCAGAACGGGGAAGTTCTCTTTTATTATTTGTTCAAATAAGCTTTCCACCATGACTGTTCCTCTTCCCCTTCTGGTACCCCTATAATTCGGATGTTGGAGCATTTAAAGCTGTCCTGGAGGTTCCTAAGCCTCTACTCCTTTTTTTGAATTCTTGTTTCTACATTCTTTTCTGTTTGGTCATTTTTTTCTCCTTCTGGTCCACTCCTTTGATTTGAGTCCCAGTTTTCTTTCCATTACTATTGGTTTCCTGTGCATTTCCCTTCATTTCAATTAGTTTAGCCTTCATATGTTCCTCTAATTTGTGACTATAATCAACCAGTTCTGTGAGCATCCTGATCACCAGTGTTTTGAACTGTGCATCTGAAAGTTTGGCTATTTCTTCATCGCTTAGATTTACCAGCTCTGGGGCTCTAAGTTCTTCTTGAGTCATGTTTTGATCTGTTCGTGCCTGTTAGGTATGAGGAGCAGAGCCTTAGTCGTTCACCAGGGTGGGTCCACCCAGGTTGCTGGTTTGTGACGCTTATGTGGGGGTGGGTCAGAGAGAGGCCACCCAGGTCGCTGGTTAGTGATGCTGTAGGTGGGGGCGAGGTCAGAGAGGGACAATGGTGGTCCCCTCTGCTGCTTCCTGCCACTGGGGCCTGCACGGTCTGTCTCACTGTTCCCTCCTCCACCGGTTTATCTGCACGCAAATATGTGACTGTGGTTAGCCTTCATTCAGTGAGTCCACCGCCTTGCGCCCTCAGTGGGTCCACCCGCTCTTACCAGTTTGGCTGAAGGGTTCGTTGTTGTCAGACTTCTGTGAAGTTCAATTTTCTGTGGTTTGGCTGTGTTTTTGTTGCTAAAACTTTGTTGTTTTTAAACTTGGTTGTGGGAGGAGGCACAGTGCTTCCACCTACGCCTCCATCTTGGCGGAAGTAGTAAATTAATTTTTTTTAACGTAGCCCTGACTGATGTAGCTCAGTTGGTTGGATGTCTTTCCCGGCGGGATGTGACGCCAGTACAGCTTCTCCCGGGCAACGAAGCTTGAAGAACCACAGGCGACAGGAACAGAGGCGCCGTCCGGCTCTGCCTACCTCCCCGCCGCCATCTTGACGCCCCTCCCCCCAGGCCCCCACCCAGGCGCGGAGGGGGTGGGGCAACGGATGAGGCCCAGAGGGAGCCGTGTGCCCCACATGACTTCCTCCCCCCCACCTTGCTCCCCCGCCTAAAATTTAATCTTTTAAAAAAGATTTTATTTATTTATTTTTACAGAGTAGAGAAGGGAGGGAGAAAGAGGGACAGAAACATCGATGTGCAAGAGATACATCTATTGGTAGCCTCTCACCCACCCCCAACTGGGGACCCAGACTGCAACCCAGGCATGTGCCCTGACTGGGAATTGAATTGGCGGTCTTTCAGTTTGCAAGCTGGTGCTCAATCCACTGAGCCACACCAGCCAGAGGGAAAAAATTCTATCTTTTGTTAATTAGTAGTCTAGGTAGGGTTCAAGAAACTCTGATAATTTTTTCTTAGGAAGAAGAATCAAGGCCTGGCTTGAATGCCTTGACTTTTATTGCACTCATTAGAGAAAATAATATGGAAAAAGTCTTCACCTGGTAAAACGAATGTCCCTAGATCACTGCGGTAGGTCCCACTCTGGGTCAGCTTTTAGTCATCTCTCTCATTGTCCCAGTGGCCATAGCTGTTGCTTGCATCTGGCTCTTCAATGGTCTCAGTTTCAAAAAAGGCCTCTTCCTCCTCCTCCTCCCAGATCACCTTCATTAACGCAAGGAAGCTGAGGGTAGCTCCCTCCGCCTGCACCACAAGACCAAGCTGAGGCTCCCCCGGCCATGACCTGCTCCAGGCGACCTGATCTGCGCTATTCCTGGCCATGGCCTATTTCTCCACTGCCCTCTGGAGCAGGGTCTCCAACCGCAGCATGTAGGCTGAGATCTTCTCACCTTCTTCCTGATAGGTCTTCAGATACCTCATCTGGGAGGCCCTGCAGCTCTCCAGGCTTCCGAACACTTGCTTAAATGCCTCCAAACACTCCTCCACGCTTACAGACTGGTCGTCTGCCTTCACTATGCGCATGAGGTCCAGGGCGGGGCCCCACAGGTTTTCCATCAGCTACCTTTTCTTCCTCTGCCTCTGCCACTGCCCACTCTTTGATTATCCCCTGGGACTGTTCCCACCAGATTTCAAAGGGCTCTTCTCTGGGCCGGGCACGGTGCTCCCTGAGAACAGTCTCAGCTTCCGGTACCTCATGGGGCGCAGGGGCTGAGGGGTGCGGGTGGGTGACTGCCAGTCCCAACATGTGGGCCAGGAACTCCAGGAACATGTAAGTCGCTGTGTCTGGAGACACTCCCTCATGCCCAAGGGCTCAGAACATAACTGGGACTTTCTGTCCCTCCTTTTCTAGAAAGAGGTTCAGTGTTTCAAGAAATTCAGTGTCCTGGTTAGGGGTCTTAAAGATCACTTTCAGACAGCCCCCTCCCCTGAACCTCACTGGGGATCACGGAGACGTGGGTGTCCTCCGGGAGCCGCAGCAGGGCAGCGCTGGCATTCTCCTGCTTCTGGAGTATCTTGCCCAGCAGCCGGCACCCACCCAGAGGCTGCAGCGTCTCCTGGAGCACCTCCCGAACCTCAGCCTTGTCACACTCCACGGAGATGCCCGTGGCCATCAGTGACTTGTGGTCATCTGCACTCACGATCTGGCACCAGTCCTCCAGCAGCTCCAGTGCCATTGTCTTGAGCCTATGTTTACTCTAACTCTATGGGTACGATTAGTTCGTGGGGCAGGTAGGCGTTCCCTGAGGATTTTAAGTGTCCTGGATAAACTCCTGAACTTATAACTCACCAAGGAATGGGTTACAGGTCAGCTCAGGCCAACTGCAGTCGCAAAGTCTTCCGGTCCAGTTACCCTTCGGGTCAGTGTACAGACGTCTCCACTCTTGCCCCCAGATGTCCTGGAGGGAAGTCTCAGGGCAGAGTGGCTGGGCCTCCTAGTGAAAGAAGGGGCACTTACCACACCGCCCTCTCCTTCCCAGGAAGCACCCACACTCTAGTTAGTCTGGGTAGACTGGGGTTCTACTCTATATTGTAGTTGTGCCTATCTCCCTGTATCAGATCTCTTTGCCTAGAGTGACCTTTTTTTCCTATTGGGTCACTGCAGTCTGGCTTCCCCACCATTCACTCATGGGACACGTCAATTGATGTCCAACCCAGTTGTGGCCAGGGCTCAAGATTGATCTCATGTGAAGGATGAAATCAGGACAATGTGACTACTTACCTGTTCGTGTGCTCCCAAATGTTCCCGAGAGTCAAGGAGCTTGTTTACTCAGCCTGTAGTGCAGGCAGATGTCATCCAATTCCACACAAAGGACCCTGTTACATATAAATAATAATGGTGTGTTTGTATGGCTCAATAATATCCAGTAATGAAGACTGTTAATGCACTTATTAAAAAAATATGACGATCCTTCACAATGTAATTAAATCTACTAAACAATATAATTGCTTCAGTTCTTTGATTTAAAAAACCCAGTTAGAAATTATTCAAACATTTACACCCAATTTAATATCAGTGTAACAATATAACATATACTTTAATATATTAATGTAGGCACAATAATTTAGTAGGAGCTTAGCAATTTTTTAAAATCGCAGGGCCAAATAAACTTGGAATTATGAATTCATTCTCGTTATGTCTGGGCAGGCTTTGCAAATGCACATGGTGTTTCCTTTGTTATGAATGTTAAGTTCTTCGTAGCATTTGAACTTGAGCAGGGTCATTTGAAGAAAAAGGGACTGAGAGGTAGAGCCGGTGGAGGACGGGTCAGGTACAAAGGGAAGAGGGCTGACACCACAGCTACGGCTGTGGAGTGGGGTCCACGTGCCACAGGTGCAGACCTGCGGCCACACAGACAGCTACTCCTACAGCAGGTGCACTTCCCGAGTCCTTCTGGAAGCTTCTTAAGGTATGGCGCGTGCCAAGGGCCAGAAGAGCAGAATGATGGGTCATGCCCTGGCCCAGCAGCCCTAGGAATCTAAGCCCAGTGATTTCTCTATGCCTCACTTTCCCCTTCTGACGTACAGGGTGGGGGGGTTGGCGGGGGCAACCTTCCACTTCCTTGTACTATTTTGAGAAAACATGAGATATAAAAAGGCATCAAATGCCCAGGAAGAAATATCTCCAAGGTCCAAGTCATGACTGCTATGCTGAGGTTAGGCTACCTTTGGGTGGTTTCTTCCTCCAGAGGTAATCCCTCCCTGCAAGGCAACCTTCAGATACAATGATGGTAAGTGATCTACGGCCCTTGATACCCTAAGTCCATGGACTGAAATATTTGGGTAAGAAAAAAATGTATTTTCTAACATAAAGATAAGATTGGTTATGGAAAAAAAAAAAAGAACTAGCCCTGGCTGGTGTGGCTCAGTGGATTGAGTGCCTACCTGTGAACCAAAGGGTCGCTCGTTCGATTCCCAGTCAGGGCACAAGCCTGGGTTGTGGGGCACAAGCCTGGGTTGTGGGCCACATCCTAGTGTGGGGCATGCAAGAGGCAACCACACATTGACCACACATTGATGTTTCTCTCCCTCTCTTTCTCCCTCCTTTCCCCTCTCTCTGAAAACAAACAAACAAACAAATAAATCTAAAACAAACAAACAAAAAACCCCAAGGATTGGTTGGACCAGGAACCAGACTTTCACATGGAAGATCCCCACTGGCTTTGCTGGATCCTTTCCTTAAGATAGTGACCTTGGAAAAAGCTTTTCAATCTCTCAATCTCAGATTCCTACCCTGGAAAGCTGTGATGGTAAAGCACTCATCTCCCCCAGCAGCGGAAATGATGCAATTCACGTGGAAGCACTTGCTTCAAATGCAAAGCATATAAGGTTCCAGTCTAAGTCTTACACCCACCTCTGGTTCTCTCAGCCCCAACACGTGCATTTCTCTTCCTCCTACTTCTCCCCTTCTTGTTCGGAGACTCTCCTGCCTCCAGCCCCCACCCTATCGTGGTGGGCTCATCTTGTAACTGTGACTGATTGTCCTCCAAATTTAACTCCATTTACCAAACTACCCCTCACAATTGCGGGAGGGAAGAGTACCCGAACTTAATCCTTCAAGGGGCAAGGGCTGACAATGGCACAACATCCTTGATCACACTGTCCAGAGCAATTGCCCTGCACTAAACAGTCTTTTAGCCCCAATCCCTCCTGGTTACTGAGCATGCCCAGACCTCCTTCTTGAGATGCCAAAGGATGGGCATCATCTCTGCAGAGTTTTGCCACTGTGGGAAGAGGGGTGTGGCTGTAACCAACCGGATGGAGGGACTGATACAAGGAAAAACGTGGGGAGGCGAGTACGCAGCGAAGGACCGTCAAGGACCGTGTTGATGGCACAAGTCAAAATGCTTCCTGGGTGCCCAGCAACCCTGTGGCTATGGCTGGTCTAAGCGCACATACACAACAAAGCCCCACAGTTTTGCCTGCTTTGCCACACACAATTCAAAGCACTCGATCACAGCCAGCACTCCATCTCCTACTCCACATTGGACATGTGCACCCGCACTTAACGCCTCTGCCACGCGGCTCTGGCGCAGTGCGCAACTGTGGGGAGGGAGCACCAGACCGAGAAGGGATGGAGATTTGGGGATTGGGCTTTTCCTCTCCTCTTTTTTAGGGGAGGTGAAGAAGACACCAAATCGAAACATTCTCTACGCCCTTCTTGGCGCAGAGGCGCAATTCACGGTACGTGGCGCCCTCCGGCACTATGTCCGCACCCTCACCCACTGTTTGTATGCATCAGTGGTCGTGCTCGGCCGGGCTCTGCAGACTGTACTCTTGGCTACACACCCGCGGGCCGGGCCGTAGACCTGTGTCTCTCCTGCCCACTCCACACCCATCGTTTGCTATGCCCCTCTACATTTCTCCCCGCCATGCTGTGGGTCCCCCACCTCTGTGGATGAACTTATTAAAGCCTTCCTGTTTCAATCTCTGCTCCCAAGAGCCCACCAAAGCCAATAGGTAGACCGAAGCTTTGGTGTCTTGCGCGAGGTACGGCCCCCATCTCTCTGCGAAACCTGCTTCATCCCTTCCCCATCCTCGGTAGGGCCCCTTCCTCTCTCCTCGGGGGTCCTGGCACCAGCCAGTTTACCCCCCTCTCCCCATCCATCACCTCACGCCCCGGTCAAGGGAAGGAGCCTTCCGGCCCACCTCCGAAATGCCGTAGGGAAGAGGCGCCAGGGCCGGACAGGTGGGAGAGCAGGGCGCCGGGCCAGGGGCTGCGCCCTCGAGTCTCCTTCCCCGCGAGCCTGCCGCACACTCACCGTGGAACTGACTCCGGTCAGCGGCCCCTCGGCTCCACACCCCTTAGTCGGTGGTCCGGCCGCTTCACTTCCGGAGCGCGGGGCTCTGGGCGGTGCGGCCCGCCCTCCCTCTCCCGCGCCCAGTCCCCTCCCGGGCGCCCCGCCCACACCCCGCCCGCCGCTGCCGGGAACTGGCAGCCTCTGGCTCCGGCTGCCGCAGCGGCCGCCCTTCCAGACCCAACTTTGCAGCTGCCGGGAGCTCACAAGGCGGCGGGGGGCGTGAGCAGGGAGGGGGGACAGCGGGGTCAGGGGGAGGGACTGGGAGGGAGTGTCGCCCACTCGCCAGCTCTGCTTCCTCTCTGTGCACCTTGCGCTCGGCAGCGAGCGGCGGCAGCCGGGGGGCTGTGCACAGAGGGAGGCGGACTTAGGGACCGCAGACGGAAGGACGGACGGAGGGAACCCGCCCCGAGCCCCCGCACCATGGCCGAGAAGAAGCAGTCTGGGAAGACGGCAGAGGACGAAGAGGTCCCTGCCTTTTTTAAAAACCTGGGTTCAGGCAGCCCCAAGCCCCGGCAGAAATTCTGTGGCATGTTCTGCCCAGTGGAAGGGTCCTCGGAGAACAAGACCATCGACTTCGATTCGCTCTCGGTGGGCCGGGGCTCAGGGCAGGTGGTGGCTCAGCAGCGGGACGTCGCCCACTTGGGCCCCGACCCGCAGCCGCCGTACTCCCGGCAGGGCCGGCGCGCCGGCGGGGAGCCATCTGTTGAATCGGGCCGGAAGGTGGAGATTCGAAGGGCCTCGGGCAAGGAAGCCTTGCAGAACATCTACGACCAGGTTGGTTGTGGGGGGAGGGGAAGATTTGAGAAGGAGAAGAGGGCAGGGGGATCGCCCCTCCCTCGCATCCCGGCCTGCCTACCTCCCTGCCCCTCCCCACATCTGTACGAGTGCTCCACCCTAACCTGCCCTTCTCCGCGCAGGGTGCCGAGAGGCTTGGGCTCGGCGGTGGAAGGCAGTGTGCCCACAAAGGCTGCTCGCGCCTCCCCGGGTCTGGGAGGTGGAGGATGGTGGGGAAAGGATGGGCCGATCTCGGGCGGGAGGTCGCATGGTGGGGGGTGGGGATGGGCGGCGGTTCCATTCTTCTTAAATCCTCCCAGGCGGTTTCCCATTGCAGCTGTGGCTGTGTCCCACCCTTTTTTTTTTTTTTTTTTTTGCTGCAGCTCTGTGCGTACAGTAGAGGGCTCGCGTAAAGGCCCGTGGGATCCCCGGGGTGTCGGGAGGGCGGGGGGGGGGGCTCCGACGGCTGTTCCCCTCCGCGCGCTGCGCGTCCTGCGCGCTTTATACCACACCGTCTCCCACGCGCTCCGCGCTCGCGTCCGGAGCTGGAGGCCAGTACCATGGTCAGCTCCTCCTAGAGCATCTCACCACCCTGACTCTGG